CAATGCTATAAAGGAGATAACAGCTCGATGTCCTCTAGCCATGACTGAGGAACTTCTCCAAGACCTGGCTCAGTATAAGACACACAAAGATAAGAGTAAGTTGTATGTTATTTTCTGTAGGCCAGAGAGTACAGTGTGACTCATTTTTACCTCATTGTGCTCTTTGCTCCAGAATTTCTAGTTGAAGGTATTATTTTGTAGATGTAATGATGTCTGCTAGAACTTTGATCCAGCTCTTCCGGACACTGAATCCTCAGATGTTACAGAAGAAATTCCGGGTGGGTGAAGCCTGCTGCTGTTGAGCTAAAGATTATATGATCTCAGAATGTGAGAGTAACTTTCTACAATTTGAACTTTAGTATTTGTGTTGTTTTTCTTATAAGTACTGATAGTGCTTACGATTTTATTTATGTTTAGAATATAATTGAATGGATACCATGGCTTACATATTTATAGTTGCAATGTGTTCTATGACCATAACTGAATCTTATGAGACTGATTAAACTTGAAAGCTTGAATCTCCAATTTCAGTCAGTAGATTTTGCTCGGATTGAAGGCCTCTCCCCAACCAGGCAGCACCTATTCCAAGGAATGAGGGACATGTGTATATAACAGAAAGATAGATGGTACTTTGGAGACCTGAAAAATAACGATTTTCTTTACTAACTGCCAGTATATTAATTTGGATTAGAAGAGGATGAGAAAGTAGTGGGCAACATTCTGGCTCTGGGGTGTTTACTTTGTCCTGAGACAAAAGTAAGAAATTGTTTTGTCACTTGGTTACCTCCATTTTTTATAGTACTACATTCTAAATTCATACTCCTGCCTCATATGTTTCGTGATTTGTGTTTTACAATCTGAGTACCTTATTATAAAGTTTCTTCTGCTTTAGGGCAAACCTACAGAAGCTTCTGTGGAAGCTAGAGTACAAGAATATGGTGAATTAGATGCTAAAGATTACATTCCAGGAGCAGAGGTTTTGGAAGTTGAGAAAGAAGAGGATGCTGAAAATGAAGGTTCATCTCCCTCCTTCCCTCCCCTCTCCTTTTCTTTCTCCCTCTTACCCCCTCTTCTCTCCTACTGTCCTCTTTCCTGTCATACTGGTGCTGGGGATGAAGCCAGGACCTGTGCATGCTCACATGTTCATCCACCATGGAGCTGCACCTTAGTCCCTGAAGGTTCTTTTTTGCCTTACCATTATTCAAGATTGCATGGCAAGATAGGAGACTGGAGAGTGAGTTGGGGACATTATTGTGAGTGTTTGTATATATGCCAGACCAAAGAGCTGGTACACTACAGGTCATTGAGGCCACCTTATTGGGCATCTGCAAGGTTTTTTCACCTCCAAAATTTGCTACCTTGGTTTTCTGAATAATGGAAACCAGTTTCGTATATCACTATATTTAGACAGGTCAGATATTTGCTGTATGCTCAAGCTAAATGATCAAGTCCAGTTATGATGGATATAGTTAGTTCAGTGAAAAGAACATGAACTGTAGAGTCAGGCATGATATGAATAATTTCAGCATGGGCTGCAGTTTCTGGTTTTGGGACTTTCCTCTGGAGTCTATCCTTATTCTGTTGAGCTGTGAGGGTTAAAGGAAGTGATTATAAGGTTAGGCTTATGATACATACCTAATATTTAATCCCCACTCCTTGAGTTAGCTGAATTGAGGTGGCTTATTTCACAACAAATACTCCTCAATTCCTGGAATGGAGTGTCTTTTCAGGGTTCAATACCTTTTCCATTGCTTGATTTTACTCATCTCGCTGAACATACACAACAAAGAATGGTGGATCTCTTAGCAAATTTTTTCTCACACAGATGGGTGGGAAAGTACCAGTCTCAGTGAAGAGGAGGAGGCTGATGGTGAATGGGTCGATGTACACCACTCTTCTGATGAAGAACAGCAAGAGATCGTAAGTCTTACAATTTCTGTACCAGGACCAGGGAGATAGCTCAGTAAAATAAATGCCTGCCTGACAAGTGCAGTGTCCTGAGTTTAATCCCTGGTACCCCGCTCCCCCCAAAAAATTCTGTACTAGTACATCCCTATGATCTTCATCAAGACTTGTCTTATGCTGGGCCTTGTTGGAGACCAGCATAGTATGGCCCAGAGCCCCCACACCGGGCAGCCCTGAGCCCATGTGTGCTGTACAGTCCCAGAAGCTGAGCAGCATGGCCACGGAGGAGCGGAAGGCCAGGGCTGCAGCCATCAGCACCAGTCGGGTCTTGACTCAAGAAGACTTCCAGAAAATCCGTATGGCTCAAATGAGGAAAGAGCTCGCTGCAGCCCCAGGGAAGGCCCAAAAGAGGAAATATATTGAAATAGATAGTGATGAAGAGCCCAGGTAAGGTAGCATAGCACCACTTGTCAGTCTAATGAAACCATTGGGGGAAGGAATTGTACTCTTTCTCAACATTTTATTTTTCTCTCACTCTAGGGGTGAATTGTTGTCTCTTCGGGACATTGAGCGCCTTCATAAAAAACCAAAGTCTGACAAGGAGACACGACTAGCAACTGCAATGGTGAGCCAGGCAAATAAAATGAAATATAATCTAGAATCTGACTAGCTATAAAATGGCTTTTTAAATTTTTTTGGTCCCACTGAGGATTGAATGTAAGACCTTTACACTGAGCTGTATCCCTAGCTCTTTTATTTTTTAATTTTTTTGTGTTTTTTAGGGAAGAGTCTACAGGGTGTTCAGGGTCTCACTACTGTAATTCAGACCCGTAGTGATCTGTCTGCTTACGGCCTCCCAAGAGCTGAGACTACAGGCGTATACCAGCGCGCCCAGTCTCAGTTGCTGTCTCAGTGTGCCCTGAAGGTGGGGTTAGCATGGCAGGCCTGGGCATCCAATCCTCAGCCCCTGCACCTGCTTGCAGACACTTTAATCCGCTGAGCTATTTAGCCGGCCCCCTAACTCATTTTTAAAAATTATTTTTATTTTAAGACAGGAATCTTCCTAAGTTCCAGAGTTCTCCAGGCTAGCTGGGATGAAATTTGTAATCCTCTTGCCTCAGCCTGTCAAGAGTGCTTTGTTTATAGATATACAGTACCACATCTGGCTTACAGTGGCATTTTTATAATTTAAATAAGGATATAATTAATGTAGAATAAAATGCACAGGTGTTAACTTGAGTTAAATAAGTTTTGGCAACAGTATATAGACATGTAATCTCTGCAAAACAAAATTTAAAACACAGGAAGACTGTTTCCATGTTGATGATATCAAAAAGCTTAGTCCATTTTCAAAGCTAATAGGAAAAGAATCAACTGTACAGTGATCACTGAAAAGCTGGAGCCAGTCATGTTGGCCACTGGCCTGTGCTGGCCCTGTGGATGCTGTATCTTGCCTGCATTTCCAGCCTCAGTTTCTCCACCTTGTGTTAGGTACCATCCCACACTAGTTCCTTCTTATCCTGCATTTTGTTTTTCTCTTTTTGAGATAGGATTTCACTATGCAGTTCAGGCTGGCCTTAAATTCACTTTATATATCACCCAGGCAGGCCTCAAACTTGAAGTGAGCCTCCTGCCTCAGTCTCCCAAATGGCAGGATTACAGCATTCTGTTTATACTAAGCTTATTGAGATGAGTTCAGAAACCTACCTTCTTTCTTCTCTACACCACTGAAGTGTGCTACCTCCTGCAAAGCTCTCCTTTCCCCCACCATGAATGCCTACATCTGAAAAAAACAGCTTCTGTGGCTCCCTTTCTGCAAACATCCTCTCACTGCGCCAAGCTAAGTTAGAGTCTTTTGTTCCACTGAGCTTCTTCCCCTCCCCCTCCTCTCTACTCTCTTGTCTGTGTCTCTGTCTGCCTGTCTACCTACTTATCTGTCTGTCCGTCTGTCTCTTTTTCTGAGATGAGGGTCTCACTGTTAGCCCAGACTGGCCTTGAACTCATAATTCTCCTCCCTCACCATCCCAAACACTGATCTTCCATAGAGCTGCCCCTCCTGTATTAGGATACTTGGTGCCATTTCTTTGTTGGATGAGTCCTGGGACCCAGGACTATATTCCATCCATGCTGTGTCCATGGTATGCAGTAAAGTGCCTGGCATACAGCTTGCATTTATATTGATCCAGTAACTTGGAAAGTATGTACTATTAAGGAAAAACATGAATCTTTTTGTGCTGGTAGGCTGGAAAGACAGACCGAAAAGAATTTGTGAGGAAGAAAAGCAAAATGAATCCATTTTCCAGTTCCACAAATAAAGAGAAGAAAAAACAGAAGAACTTTATGATGATGCGATACAGCCAGAATGTTCGGTCCAAAACCAAGCGGTCCTTCCGAGAGAAACAGGTGAGTGTGACTTGCAGCCCAGCTGGCAGGAACAGGTCTGTAGTTGCAGAACTGCTTAGGCTTGATTGGTTGTAGCTTCTGAAGACCATGCACTTGGGATTCAGGAGAGCATGGAGAGAAGCTGAGAGGGCAAGTAAATGCCTGACCTGAATTTGTTGGGACTCAGCTGTGTGACCGGAGGGGCTTACCATATTTTTCACCTACGTGAGTGAAGGGACACAGTTAGGTCACCCCTGAGGTCTGTTTACATGCTAAAATTCTCTGTCATGTGATCAGTGAGATTTCATTGATATTAATAATTTTCTGTCTAGTACTTTTCTAAAAGTAATCAGTTTGTGTGGTACTGTCTGAGAAACAATTTCAGGGAAGCAGGGAGACAAAGAATTATATATGTGGACTTTGCAAAAAGCTGTGATGTTAACAGACCTGTGGGATTTCATTTTGCCCTTTCATGGTCTTTGTACTTATGCTATACAGGTGATTTTATTTATTTCATTCTAGAAAACTAAATAGTTTATCTCCTCCTGGAAGTATACCGGCATGTCCCCAAATGTCATTGTGAAGGAGCTCCAGGAAATCAGCTCCTTGGTGACACAGTCCTGTTTTCTGAAGCAGTGTCCCTAAATAGTTTGTTGAAGGCAAACCTGCAGGAGGAAGTTTCATGCTAATCTCGCCTTATTCCAATTTTAGTATATTATATGTTGCCAAAGCAAGTACAGCCACATTTCCGAGTGCTCCTTAGCCGTGTGCCATTAGTGGCTTCCCAGATGAACAGCACAACTCCACAGCATTCTTCAGAGTCCCCAGGGGCTTCAAGGAAAGAAGGATCATACTTCATATCTCCTCTCCCCCTTGGTGTCATTTTACTGTCTATAGTAATAGGATCTTTTGTGGCTGGAAGAGGAGGTGACTTTGGATAACTAGGAGAGGACAGTAATGCATATGATGGAGGAAGAGAGGCTCTTGTGGTGGAACCTTTAGGAAGATAAAAGAAGAGGTGGGAGGATATACCTGTGTCTTATGTGCAGTTGGTGGCACTTGAAGGGGGAGGGGCAATGCAGAGTTTGAGAATGGCCTGAGTTTTGTTAGAGAGATTAACAAGCAGAATTAAATCCATATCACCAACATTAACTAAGGTACATAGTTCTTACCATGTGGCTTAACAATTCCAGAATGTTTCATTAACTCGTTCAGTTAGTATACATCAGGAGGTACTGTGAGTAAAGCACTTATACTACTGATGAACATAAGATACTGATGAGTCTAAGTAATAACTCCTTAGTCACACATGGAGAGAAAACATTCTCTCAGGCTTTCACAGAGAGCACATTGGCCAAGCAGTGGCCATGACTCATCCACATGGCTGACACTGACAAAGGTTCTACAGTCTCAGGTACAGGATCTCAGGATAAATCCTGAGGGGATTTCACTGACCTTCTCAGACCCAAAAGCTACAACTCTTGTTGCATAGGTCTTGCTTTATCTTGGTCTTAACCATCCAGCAGAAAAGTATAAAAACGAAGTATAAAAAGTAAAGCCATGCTGTTAGGTTGAGCTGTACGGGACTCAGGTCAACAATTTCTGACACTGCCATTCAAGCAGAAGACTCAATACTATTATGGACTACTGGATTCTTTTAGAATATTTTGCTGAGTTAACATACCTATAATATTCAAATGACGGAACTAAACAAAAAAGGGGGTGCAGATGAATGTCCATTTTGTATCTGTGTATTCAGAATGGTTAGAATAGATAGTTACATTCTCTTAATGAATAGAGGGATTTGTTGTAATAGTGTTTGTAAATAGGATATCATGTCTGCATCTTGTACAGCAAATAACCACTAGGAAGAGAGTATGCAATGTGTTAATTATTGAAACTGTCCTACCAATTTGATTTGAAACTGTCTCATTGCTATTTGTCTCTCAATAAAATTATGGAAAAAAAATGAGATTAAGTTAAAAGAAATTTATGGACTTATACCTTAAGTATCCTAACTATTTTGCTGATCTACAAAGACAACCAAGATTCAGGCATAAGCTAAAGCAAAGGAATCAAAGATCCAAAAAGGTTGGACATTTAGATTTACACTTGGTCTTAGCCAAAAGGCCGAGAAGCAATTGGACATTTAGATTTAGAGTTAGGCTGTTTCTACTTAAACTGTTTAACAAAGCAAAAAGTTACAAATACCTCATTAAGATTCAGAAGCTAGTGGCTGGTGAGATGGCTCAGTGGTCTAAAGCACCTACTTAGAACAAGCTTAGCAAAGCACAGGGACCGCGGTTCAATCCCCCAGCACCACCTGCTGGCCAGCCGTGCCCCCTGGTGGGCTGCTGAGGTCACCCCCCCACACACATAAATAAATAAAATTAAAAAAAAAAAAGATTCAGAAGCTAGCAGTTTTTTAAGGTAGGAAGGTACTTGAAATTAATGGAATAGTATTCATCATTCACTTATATTAGCCTTGATTACTTTTTTTAAAATTTAGGTTTATTGATAATTTCCTGATTATTTTGTGAAGATTTAAAAATCTTTAAGTGGTCTGTATTGTCATATTTAGTGAAATATATCTGATCTTGGAGAAGACAATTTGGAAAGAAGATCTCCTTTTCTGTTGGTTTTAATCTGGACAACATGTTCCACTCACAACTCCCAAATATTACACCCATGTTCACTGGAGTGCTACTGTGTATTTTCTCTGGAGGCAGATAATGCTTTTATAAGGAATGTGATTGGCTTTCTTCAAACATTGGTCTTTAAATTATCTTTTTCTCTAGATCTTACATTCTTTACCTTCATATTCTACCCTGTGTAAGCAACCTTACTCCTTTAGTTAGAGAAGGACTATAGGAGATGAAAGGCTGGATTGAGAATTAATTAGAATTAAATAATTCACTGTTTTTATTTCATCTTGGATACTTTAAAAACAAGATACACATATTACATTTTTTTTTTTTTTTTTCAATGCCAAAGATTGAGCTTGGGACCTTGTGTTTGTCAGGCAGGCACTTATACCGCTGAGTTTATCCCCAGCCCACATATTAAAAATTAAAAACTTGTATTAGCTAAATATTTTATTTTGATTCAATGTTAGTATCTTCATATCTGAGCCATCATAAGGATGATAGCATTTATTTATTGTACATATTTTTAGTTCATTTACTTCAGTAAACAAGCACACTTGAAAATTAGCATATAAGAGATTATTTTTCTCTGCTTCCAGTTGTGCATTGTAGGAGTTACCTTAAATCTGCACAAGTGCCAAATGCCATCTAAGCTCTTTAAATGGTCTATACATATGTGCCCTGTTTAGTGGAATATATCTAATCTTAGAAAAGTATTGTGAAAAAGATCTACTGTTTTGTTGGTTTTAATTTAGACAGTGTCCCATCCACAACTTCAAAACATAGACCAGAGGTGCCATATGTTCTCTCTGGAGGTGGGTGACATGCTGATTCCTGCTTTCTGGAACTGCTGCTATATGGAGATTTGTGCCCATGACCTCACACAGCTGTGGAGAGCTTTGCACATTTCCCAGAAGCGCAGCAACCTCTGCCCCAGATAGGCATGTGATCTTTAGGATGTGTTTCACAAGTTACAGCTTTTCAGGATGGTTTATTGGTTCCTTTTTTGATAAGCTTATTTATAACCAAATTGGTATGTGGAGGTACTTGAAAGTTGTTATATATAAATGCTTTTTGTTTTTCTTCCAGCTGGCCCTACGAGATGCACTTTTGAAAAAGAGGAAAAGAATAAAGTAACTTCCAAGCAAGTTTTCCATTGCATGGAGAATGCTAAATTTGAGCAGTTATTCTGAAAATTAGTAAATGGAGGATATTTATGTACATTAAAAAGTCCCCAAAGCGCTATATTATGGAAAAACACACTAAATTTGGTAGCAGTTGTGTGTTATTAGTGGAATGGGTAGAGGTGGCAATCTTTCACACATGAACAGTGGTATAAAATAATTTTATTTTAACATTCATGCATTTTAACATGAAGTGCCTACTCAATTGTCACTGTAGATATAAAATTGAATGAGCTATAATCATTCAAGACTTTCATGGGGGAGGGGGTATATACATGTGTGTACACAGGGCAGTGTAAATAGTTCTCTGGTAGACGTAGGTCCACCTGGAGTCCCTAGGGGAGCACTGAGGCCTTACAGACTAACTCTGCAAGAATGTGAGTTAGCTATTCTATTAAAACAGGACCGCGTTACAAGAGTAAGAGATTCTTACTTGTAAATAGGCTTACCTGCTGAAAACAGGTCCCGGCTGTACAGATTTTGCATAGATAAGTTAGCTCTTTGAATCTAAATTATTTCAATTTTTTTTTTTTTCCATGCTGTATAAACACTTTTTGGGTAAGATTTCATTTCTAAAATTGCCTTAGGTATAAACAGTTTGAAAAGTCTGTTCATCATTAAGCTGTTTACATTTTTATATTTATTCCTCAGACTCCCTTCTCTCTGTGTAATATTTTTATCCCATTGTTTGCTTTGTACCTAGTAAAAGATTTCTGAAGTCCAGGATCCTCTTGTATGTACAATAGTGTGTGTTGTTTGCCAGGCATGCCTGAGTGGGTTTTGGGGGATTTTCTCTTTATGTGTAGTTATTATATTTAGAAGTAATTTGGTGCCTTTTGCCCCAGATTTTTTAATCTTGTGTTAGATTAAAATATTAAAGGGTATTTTCTTGCCCTTCAGAATTAAAAAACAGCTTCTGAAATCACTTTTTTTTCTCTTTGCATTTTCTTCTGTTTGCTTAGAGTTCAGTTTCATCTTTATTTAAATGAAACTTCATTGATACCCTACATCACTGTTAGGGTATTAAACTGTCAGATTCAGACCGCAGCCACTTGATTGCTTCACAGGAAGTGCCCAGGGCAGGTTTGTATATTTCAGACCTGAAACTATTTCTTCTTCCTTCCTCTTCATGCTTGAACTGGATGTCACCTCATGTGTCTGGATCTAGAAAGTGAGTAAAATTGGAGACAGCATAATAGGTGGGGGCAAGGAACTTTGCTGTGCACGCCTTTGCTGGAGTGCCCAGAAGCTTCATCCTCTGCATGGGTATCTCCACGTCACATGGACTCCAAAAAGCCAAAGTCTTTTCTTTATTCTGACTCCACCAGAGAACGCAGGAACCCAGGGCTTTTCCACTGAACTACATTCCTTTGCTTTTTTTTTTTCCTGTCTTTTTTTTTTTTTGTTTGTTTGTTTGTTTGTTTTTTTTTTTGGCAGAACCAGGGAGTGAACTCAGGTCCTTACACTTGCCAGGAAAGCGCTTATTCCACTGAGCCATTTCCTCAGCCCTCCCTTTTTTTTTTGAGACTGTTTTAGACTAGGTTTTACTGAGTGACTCAGTCTGGGCTTGAATTTATGATCCACTGTGTCAGCCTCCTATAGTCTTTTATTTTTTTCTAAATCCTTTTGTAGTTTTATAAATCTTGAGAATTTTTCTGTTAATTTGAAGACCAGATTCTCATGGGTTGAGTAAAACCAGCAAAAGTTAAGATATAGGATGGTTTTAACCTTGAAGTCATCAGATTCTGAACTTGAACTTTTCAGTATTAAATTTTTACTATCACCAAGAATTTTAAAATTTTTACTATCACCATTTCAGTGATAAACTCACAATATATGAAAGTATATGAATCAAAAATGTTGATATATATGTAATCTCAGTAAAATCCACTAGTAAATATGCTCCACATTAAAGCATAGTTTTGAAAATCTGTTCTCTATTGTATCCCCAGTGCTTGTTCATTGTCTAATCCAATTTTAGAGGCTCTGCAAATGTTTAACCACATGATTCAATGGGTTACAGTTTGTATGTAAATGTTGTACCACCTGTGTCACTGATTGATTTAAGACTGTGTTTTGTGGGAGGTTGTATTGATGTTGTTTTTATTTTGTTTTATTTTGACATAAGAGTTCATTCTATAGCCCAGGCTGACCTGAGTTCATGATGATCTTCCTGCATCAGCCTCCCAAGTGCTAGGATTACGGTCGTGCACTGCTATGTCTGCTAGGAATCACTGTTTATAATCACTGGGCACATACCTGCCACAAAGTAAGCATTCAGCAAAGTTCTCATTAATGGTTAGAAATCTCTTGTTATTTTTTCATAATTTACTTTAAATGAGGTGATGACTGGGGAGATAGCTTGGAAGTCTAAGCACCTGCCTGGTGATCGCAAGGTCCGAAGTTCGATTCCTGGTACCATGTGCCATCCTGGCCTTGGAAACCCAGGCCTTCAAACGACATGGTGGTGCATGCCTATAATCCCAGTGCTGGGGAGGCTGAGACAGGAGGATCACTATAAGTCCGAGCTGCTTAGCGAGACCCTGTACCAAATGAATTAATAAAATATGCCAAGAACAGTTGTTACCAAAAATTTATTTTACTCCTCAAATTCAACACTTAGGCAAATAATTTGAACTATTCCAGTGTCTGTTGTGTGCAAAGCCCTTCCAGAGCTGTGTGGGTTGCAGAGACAGAGGACCATGGTGCAGACAGCTTAGAGAACTTTGAGAAAGAGCCACACTGAGAAGTGGTGTGTGAGGTGATGCTAAACATCAGAGTGTGCCATAAATATATATAATTTTTATTAATTTGAAAAATCAAGCAACAGATGTACCTCAGTGGTGGAACACATGCCAGGCATGTAGAAGACCTGGGCTTTAATAACCAGAACTGTAAAAAAAAATTTTAAAAGCACAGCATAGGGCTAGGTGTATCCTAAGGAAGGAGCAGTTCAGCTTCCAGGGGATTCCAGTGTTTCCTAACTAATACTTGTAATACACAGCATAACAGTAGAAAATCTTAAGTTATGGTTTAGAAGTTGGTATAATTTTTAAAAGTTATGGTTAATATGGATTATTCATATTCTAGTTCTTTGGAAATTCGTAATCTGTAGGTATTACATTGTAGTTCTATTTTAACTAAAATGTTTGATTAGAATACTATATTCTAAACTTTTTTTTTGACAGGGTCTCACTATGTAGCCCAGGTTAGCCTCAAAATAACAGCAGTCCTGTCTCAGCTTCCTAAGTGTTGGGATTGCAGGTATGCACCACTGCTCTTTAAACTTTTAAAATATCAAATTTACAAAATTAGGTTCTATAGTGCCACCAAGGGACATCCTTTCATTTGTTGCTTACATATTTTTAAAATACATTACCTAAGATTTAAGAAAGATGTTGAATAAATAGGTCAGGCAGTTGCCTGGATAAAGTCAAGGCTTTTCTCTTAGTGTAGTCTTTTATCTGCACATGCATAAAAATGCAAATTAAAGCAGAGCACACAGTTAACTACAGCTAACTTATATTTATGAAAGGCACTTTTTATGCGGTTGTCATATTTCTGCATATTCTTTTGAAATCATTGTGATTTCATATAGAAATGGTTAAATGAAAGCATGGAATATTCACAGAGTGGATTATTGTGGAGCCATTAAAATGTTTATAGTAGGAGCCAGGTGAAATCTCAGCACCCTAGGAAGCTGAAGTCAAGTTCTAGCCCAGCCTAGGCAGTTTAGCTACTTGATGAGACCTTGTCTCAAAATTTAAAAAGTGATTTAGGCATGGTGGCACAGGCCTGTAATCCCAGCACTCAGGCTGAGTCAGGAGAAATGCCATGAGTTCATAGCCAGCCTAAAGTGCGTAATGAGAGCTCGTCTCAAAAAACAAAACAAAAAGAGTAAAGTACTGTCTCTGAATGTGAAGGTCCTGTCTTAAAAAAAAAAAAAAGAAAAAGGAAAAAAGGCTGTAGCTGAATAAGAGGCCCTGAGTTCATTTCCCAGTATTGCTAAGTAAATGAATTATAAAAAAATTTAAAGCTTACAATGGGAAATGTATGGTACAAATCAATAAAATGTCAATGTTGTTATTGTTTAACCCACTATATATATACACATAAGAAAATAGGAAATAATAAAAGCCAAAGGAAGTAGATATATGTTAAACGAAATGTGCCAGGTATTAAACAGACTTGTTTGGTGTTGTGATTATGTGTAGGGTTTTTTTTTTTTTTTTTTTCTACTTTACTTTCTAAACCTTTTTACAGTATACATGTTTTTATTGTTGGCATGTAAGAAAATAAGATAGACAATAAAGATATACTGAGAGTCACTCTGGTAAAATTTCTCTAATTAAAGAGACCCCCACCCCCATAAGCAGCAAGAATAAGCTTCAATATACTACCTGGAAATCTGGATAGACTACTCAGTTTCTTAGATACTTTTTCCTTCTACATTACTGTACACTTTCTGCTCCTGTATGACAAAGGAACCTTTCGCATGTAATTTCCAATAACATTTTTCTCACGTCTCTTGAACCCTGTACTTGCCCACCACCATACTCAAGTACTTGTGTGTCACCCAAATGTTTCTTAGTTATTTCTTGCCACAGAACTAACTACCCAGGGGCCAAGCAGATGGTTCAGTAGAATAAGCACTTCCCTGGCTAGCGCAAGGGCTTGAGTTCAATCCCTGGTTACTGCCCACAGCTTAGTGCAGTTCCTGTCTCTCTGAGTAAGGTATTGAGGTGACTTAGCAGGAGCCTGGGGCAGGAGGAGCCTCTTCCAGGGTGGTTCACTTCTGTGGCTTTGGACAAGAAGCCTCACTTCCTTTCCTGCTTTTGGCAGAAGGCATCAGTTCCTCAACATGGGGATAGTTGCATAAGACTTTGTAGGTATTCTTAGTATGTGACAGTTGACTTCCTCTAGAGCAAGCAACGTAAGAGACAAGAAGAGGCCACGGAGACTTGTGACAGTCTCAGCAGTTAGTTGCCATCACTCAGCTGTAGTCTGTTCATTAAAGGAGAGTCGGTAAGTACAATTCAAAGTCAGGAGGCAGGAGGACTGAAGGATATCCAGACCTGTTTTAAAGCTGCCAGGGTGTATTTAAACCAAACAAAATGAGATGCCAGCCTTAAAAACAAAACAACACTTTTCTGACCTGCCTTCTTGCACTGTCTACAGTTTTTTGTTTGTTAGGGTCTTTCAGCTGGCCTTGAACTCACTGTAGCCCAGGCTGGCCTCAACCTCATGGCAGTCCTGTTCACTGACCTGAGTGCTGAGAGTAGAAGCAGCAAGTGCTTCTACTACCTGATAGAAGTGGGTTTTTTAATTTTGTTTGTTTTTTTAAAACTGTGAGCTTTGATCCATAAATAAACCATGATAGCAGCCACAGCATCTCTGAAATTAGTGATCAGCACAGGAGCAGCAGAGAGGAGAGGGCTCAGGTAGTTTATTTGTTTTTTGCAGTATTGGAGATTAAATTCAGGACCTTTACGTTAAGCTGTTTTTTGTTTTTTGGTTTTTTTAAAAGATGGAATCTCACTAAATTGCCCTGCCTAAGCTTGAACTTGTGATTCTGCCTGAGTCTCCCAGATTTCTTGGATAACAGACATTCGACACCATACCCAGATTCTATTTTTAAAAATATTTTTTAAATGTATTCATGAATTTGGTATAGGGTCTTGCTAAGCAGCTTGGATTCCTAGGGATCCTCCTGTCTCAGCCTCCCCAGTTCTGGGATTACAGGTGTGCACCACCACACCCATTTTGGTGGCTGGCATTGTGTGCTCAGGGTTCCAGGGCCGGCATGGCATGTGGTACCAGGGATCGAACCTGGGTCCTTGCACTTGCCAGTCAGGTGCTTAGACTGCTGAGCTATCTCCGTGTCCCAGATTCTATTATTTTTTCTTTGTGTAGTGAAATGAACACCTCCTTTGTATTCACTGAATACACAAAGTTCAAATTAGAGACTTAGGAAGGTAGGCTTGTTGCTAGAGGGATTCCAAGTCCTTTATTGCTAAGAAAAAGGAGACGTGTTTTTAATGCATAACTGGCAATGGGGTTAGAAGCCTGTCCTCTGTCCCTGTGGAGGTCTCTGACAGGCTTTGGGTTCCACAGCCTGGCTTGGCTGGAAACAGAGCACACCCACAGCCTGTTACCTGGACAAACACTTCACTTCTGCAGGGCCACATTCCTCCTCAGTAAACTCCAGATGAATCAGATGCTATCTTGGCTTGTCTGGATGGCTAAATGAGATACTGTTGGCAATAATACTAGGTACAGAAGTGTAGCTTTTTAGATCTTGTTTTAAAACAGATGAAATGGGAGTGTTAAATAGAAACTAATGTGTTTATTGGGATGCCTTCCCGCTCATCTTGATTGAGGGTACTGTTAGTATTGCTTCCTCCTGAAGGAACATCCTGTGAGCCTTGCTTTACCTTCTGTAGGCTGGCACAGGACAGTGGAGTGCAACACACGGAACTACCGCCTGTGCATGGCTAAAGACCATGGTGATTTTATAGCATCCTGGACCCTTCACGTCCATGAAGTAGGAATTGGGGCTCTGCACCAGGCGCTTCTTGTGCTTTCTCTTCTCCAGAGAGGGATGAAGGAGATCTTTTGTCAGAGGCATGTTCTCATGGGGAGGTTATCACGGCCTGAAAGGCCCTTATCCCTTATAAAATCGTAATAAACGTCTGAAGAATTTAAATTTAAAAATGAAGAAAGCAAGTGGGAATAGGGCGAGCGACTATGGATTTTTTTTTTTTTTTTTTTTAACTACTACTGTGTTACTCTCCCACTACCTCCTCTCTACTGCACATTTTAACCTTGCACTCTGCTATGCTTATGGTGTCTGGGGCATTCAGGCTGAGGGAACAGAGAGGTGTGTGCGGCGGCGCAGATTAGAGGAGGGACCGCCAAAGACCCGGTGTAGGGCTCCGGGTGGGAATGGGGGCTCACGCGCAGGGAGCCACCTCCAGCCCGGGCCCCGCCCCGCCCCTCCGCTTCCTGCTGGTCCCCGGCGTTCAGGAGACCCAGTAGCGTTTCCGCGTAGGCCCGCCCCGCCCCCCCTGCTCCACTCAGGCCTCGCCCCGTCCAGGCCCCGCCTCCGCTAAGGCCCAGCCCCTCAGGCCTCGCCTCGGCTCAGGCTCCGCCCAGCTGCCCCAGGTCGTCACAGTCTCTTGCCAGCGCAGAGGTTCGGTCTCCAGGTCTGCTGGCCGGAGGCATGCGGGCGCCAGTACTTCTGCTGCTGCTGCTGCTGCTGCTGGCCGGAGCCGTGCCGCATTCCACGAAGCGGTCCCTCGTGCCACCGCGCGTCAACGTGAGTCTGGATGAGGCACCCGCCGCTCGCTGGCTGCCGGCGCTGCGTCTCTTTGACCCGGGCCTGGTGCGCTCCGCGGTGGCACTGATCGTGGGGTGAGCTGCGTGGTCTGCGGGAAACATCTGAAAGCCAGGCTATGGGGGTCAGGGTCCCAGTGTGCACGCCTGCCTTGGTCTATAGGATACAATCTACGCACCCCCTTGTGACCCCCAGCGACCCCAGCAACTGCCCTTTTGGGCACTTCCTCAACTTTGCCTTTCTCTTCCAGACGTCACTGGCCGAGGCATTTAACACATACTCTGCCCCATCCTTCCTCTAAGCAAGCAATACCCTTGCTACTTTCTTTTCCAGAGACAGAGTCCCCAAGTGGGTCCTCGAGGTGATCGGAAAGTTGGTGGCAGAAATGGAGAGCTTTCTGCCTCAGCCCTTCACGGAGGAGATTCGCGGCATTAGCAACTTTCTGAACCTCAGCCTGACTGATGGTCTTCTCATCAACCTGGCCTACGAGTCCTCTGCGTGAGTGCCAGGGCTCAGGGTTGGACGCAGGGTCTGCTGGGCAAGAGATGTGTATAAAAACAAGGGAGTTGGGGCTGGGGAGATGGCTCAGTAGAATAAGGCTTCCCTGGCAAGCGCAAGAACTTGAGTTCAATCCCTGGTTCCGCGAAAAAACAACAACAACAAAACAAACAACAACAACAACAACAAGGGAGTGACTTCTTCCTTCTCTGGGGAAGTCTGAGCAGCAGTCTGGAGCCTCTAGAAAGAGCAGTTTCCAATGCCCCACCCAAACCCGTCTTCTCTCCATTCCACAAGTAGCACACCACCTCCAAACTCTGCTCAAATTGTACTGTCCGCATAGTGTTTGGAAGTAGCATTCTCCTGTGGGACCTCTGGTTAGCCCAGTGACCCCCTGCATAAGCTGTCCCCTGCATCAGGCTATCCCGCAACCCTTATCTGGCTGGATGTATCCTTTACATTTGTTTTGGCTAGTGACTCTGTCTACTCTTGCAGGATCAGCTTGCCCCAGGGCTAGGCTCACAGGGAGCTCTGTTCTCACAAGGCCAGGGTGGTCTGCAGTGGGCACCCAAAGGCAGTTGATGCAGGGAGTATGGTTGGTTACAGCACAGCGCAGGGCCACACCTAAGTGTTTTTAGGTTCCTAACAGGTCCTGGTATATATTTTTTTTTAATTTTTATTTATTTATTTTGTGTGTGTGTGTGTGTGTGTGTGTGTGTGTGTGTGGACAGCTCAGCCCACCTGGGAGTGGGGCTGGCTGGCATGTGGTGCTGGGGGATTGAACCCCAGTCCCTGTGCTTTGCCGAGCTTGTTCCAAGTAGGTGCCCCAGACCACTGAGCCATCTTACCAGCCCCCAGGTCCTGGTATTAAGGGAGATTTGACATGGTTTGTGCCTGGACTGTGCAGCTACCTTGTATAGTGACGTCCTGCAGAGCTTCCCAGATTTGGGCTAAAGATGAAGAGGGGAAGCTCTTGGGATTAAAAAAAAAAAAAAAAAATTGCACTGCTGCCTCTGGCATCTTCCCAGAATATCTAGTGAGAGTAAGTTAGGAAGCGCTGGGACTGCCCTCTTCTTCAGGGAGATGCTTTCAGACACGTGAGAGACATAGTCCTGGTCAACTAAAGTGGTGTTTTTCATTTGAACTAAATTTGTCCTATTCTGGCCTGGCCAGATAGTTTAGCAGACTAAAGCACCTGATTAGGCACAGCACAGGGACCCAGGTTCAATCCCCAGCATTCTGTGCCTGCCCCGCCCCTGGGAAATGCTGAGACAGTGACTAAGTCTGGATGTGGTGTAGTGCTCCTGTAATCCCAGAGTTTGGGAGGCTAAAAACAGGAGAATCACTGTGAATCCAATCTACATGCTGATACCTATAGACCCTGTTCTAAATGCATTAAAAAATTGTTCTATTCTGATCAGTGGCTTTCTTAATGAAAGATGATCATTTTCAGTCCTATTTAAGAAATTAAATTTCTAGTAAAAAATCTAACTTCTGGATCTAAGATTAAAGTGTTTATTACATTGCCTCATAACAAAACACCACCGGGGGCGGGGAGATAGCTCAGTAGAATAAGCACTTGCCTGGCAAGCATAGGGTCCTGAGTTCAATTCCTGGTACCGCAAAAAAAAAAAAAAAAAAAAATCAGATTCTACCAGCATTAAGAAAGGACATGGTTTTTATTTGCTTGTTTGTGTTGTTTTGCAAGTTTCTTGTCTTGGTTTGAGATAGGATCACATTGTATAGCCCTAGCTGGTCTCAAACTCAGGATTTTCCTACCTTACCCTTGAGACTGCTGAGATTATAGGTGTGTGCATGATGTCCAGAACAAGACAAGGCTTAGTTCTTAATTTGGAAAGAAGGCTATTTGAGTGAGAATAACAGTACCTACAGCTTACCAGGTACCAGGCACTTTGTGAACGTGGCCCCAGAGGGAAGGTGGTATTTTCTGTTCCGTGACATGGAAACTAAGCTCAGCAGGGACAACTTGCTGGCAGTTTCCTAGCTGGTGAGTTCCAAAGGTGCTGCTAAAAGCACACAGGTACTCAGTGCCTTGTAAATCCTCTGTCCCCACTAGTTCCCTGTGTTGGTACACTGCATCATCTTACAACATTTGGGTATGAGATGGAAGCATGGATTTCTAGACAAATTTGAAAGACCACTTTCCAGAGTGATTCTGAAGACTTTGCTTTTGTCCCTTCCCATATGTGTCAGCCACCCACTCCCAACCCTTTGAAGATAAGAAACCTTAAAAGCAACTGAAACCTGGCCAAGCTTTCTTTAAATGTACCCAAAAAAATTAAGATTTTTTTCCTGATTATAAAAGTGATAAATAAATAATCATTGCAGAAAAGCAGCAATACAGAAAAGTGTAAAGAAAAACTCATCGTAATCCTATTATTCAGAAATGAGACAGGCTCTCACTAAATCACTAAGTTGTCCAGGCTGGGTTTGAATTTGCCTCTCCTGCTTCACTCTCCAGTCTGTTGTGCTTTTAGGAGCATGGCACCATACCCTGCACAAAGGCGGTGCTTAGTTCTCATTTTGGATGGAAGGCTGTTTGAGTCAGGATAATACTAACTACACTTAATGTGCTGGAATTACAGTGTGTGCCACCAGCTGAGTTAGAAGTTCTTGAAAAGTCCTTTTTTCTTACTACCTATGTGCAAGGAGTTCTAAGAGGGACAGAAACAATGACTATTTTGCCAAGGGGACACAATGAAGCAGTGTAGAAATAAATGATTTAATCCCATTGTACATAGTTTGCAAAATTCATATGGTGGTGAAGTAGGCCTAACCTAGCTTTGAATAAAGCTTTAGGTAGGATATTTATTGTCAAGCAGAGAGATAAGCGGAGTTCAGAACTCTAGCTGAGCTCAGCATCAGTTTCACAAGGAAGTGGTTGAAGGCCAGTTATGTAGCGTGTACCCAGTAGTCTGGAGGCTGAGGAGGATCACAAGTTCGAGGCCTGCCTGGGCAAGACCTTGTTTTTTTAAAAAGGAATTAATTAAAAATGAAATTCTTATTATCATGTGTTGTGCTGTCCACAGGGCCAGGGTTGTGTCTAGATGTACTTTTCAGCTTGAATTATGAAGCCGTAGTATTGGATAAGCGTTATAGCATATATGTCAAGTATAAGAAAAATGCTATAATCATGAGCACTTGTTTTAAAACTCAAAACCCATTTTTTTTTGGTCTTATTTCCTCATTCACATTGGGTGTTTCTCCTTCTCAGATTCTGTACCAGTGTTGTAGCCCAAGACTCCAGAGGCCACATTTATCATGGTCGAAATCTGGACTATCCTTTTGGAGAGCTTCTACGCAAGCTGACAGTGGATGTGCAGTTCTTAAAGAATGGGCAGGTATGGACCAGGTCATGTGAGAACAGAATCTGAAGCAATTTGCTCAAGCAGATCAGCAGTCACTTAGATGGCCTCATAACTTGCTGGTTTTCCCTGGGAATAAGACTGACCTGAAGCTTTCCTCCAAAAGATGTGATAGGGCTTAGTTTCAGTAGATGTCTCATTTTTTCACATACAATAACCTATTTTTTGGACACTTTTATTTATTTTTTAAAATATTTATTTATTTATTTATTTATTTATTTATTTTGTATTTTGGGGAAGGGTCTGCAGGGTATTCAGGGTCTCACTACTAGATTGGACTTGTAGTGATCCACCTGTTTACAGCCTCCCAGGTGGTGGGATTACAGGTGCATGCCACCATGCCCAGTCTCAATTGCCATCTCAGTGCATCCTGGGGGTGGGGCTGGCATGGCAGGCCTGGGAATTGAATCCCTGGCCCCTGTACCTGCTTGCAGGTACTTTAATCTGCTGAGCTATTTGGACGGCCTTGGACACTTTTAAATTTAATTTCTTTGTGCGGTGCCAGCTCACATACAACAATCTACATTCATGTATTTATATACAAAATCAACATTTATTCATATATAAAAATTTACATTTATTCAGGTACAGTCATCTTATCTTCTGGAACATCATTGTAACTCTCCAAACTCTACTTCTAACCTAAATGTTTTGCAGTTCCTTTTTCTGTAGAACCTTCGGCCCCAATCTCTCATGTCCAGCAACCCAGCCCTTCTTTGTAAACACTTCTTGTCTGTGTGGCCTGCTTCTAGTATATCGGCAACACATCTGTCAATGACTTTAATTATACATTAATGTTATTATATATTTCAGTGTGTTGCAGTGGATATATTAAATGCATCTGTCTGGCTGAGGCTCTTAACTGAGGCATTTTGGGAAGTAGGGCTTATATTATGAGCACCCTAAAATTCATACCAGGGTTTATTTGCCAGTCTTACTTTGGGGGAAAATATTGTAGGTCTGTTATCATAAAAGATACAGGGGGCCGGGGAGGTGGCTCAATAGAATAAGCACTTCTCTGGCAAGTGCAAGGGCCTGAGTTCAATCCCTGGTTCTGCCAAAAAAAAAAAGAAGAAAAGAAAAGAAAAGAAAAAAAAGATACAAAGATACAAAAATAAATCAGGAGAAAGATGTATATCATTTCTTTTATAGGAAGAAGGGTTATTCAGTGTTGACTTGAGGTTAACCAATATTCCTTAGGAAGTCACTTCTGGGGTCTGATGAGTCTTCCAGTGGTTGTGTGGAATCACCTTCCTCTGCTTTCCTGTGTTCAGGCTCCTCTGGAATAAGGAGGCCTAACAACTGTAGTGACAGCTTCAAGTCTCATAGTCCTGGCTTTGAATCCTGCTTCTGTCTTTTCCTTTATGAACCTGGAGAATGACCCTTGTCTGTTTCTGTAGAGTAAGCTCATAGAGATTCATACTTGTGTGGCTGCTTACTTATTAAGGTTAAATATAATAATGTGTGTAAAGTGTAATAGGTACTCGATAGTGGCCACATAATAAACCTTCCCTCTACAAGCATGACTGACTTACACCAGTATTGTGTAACGTCTTTAAAAAAATCAAGTTTAGAACTAGGTGTAGTGGTGCATGCCTGTAACCCCAGCATTGGGGAGGCCGAGGCAGGAGGATCACTATGAGTCTGAACTGCATAGTGAGATCCCATATCAGCAAAATAAATAAATATTAAAAAATTAGGTTTAGCTTATTTTGTTTTCATTATGGGTTTTTTGGAAGTATCATCTGTTATTTACTGCCATCACAGGACCAATGAGAGCTTCTAGAGAGACAGTGAATCCGTATTCATTGAATATGCAAGCAAAACTTGTTACTGTTGTGAAATGGAACAAGGTGTGCACAAGGCAGAATTTTAGATTTAAGGATTTTCAGAGTTAAGGCTTGGTTCAATAATCCTAAAAACTTTTTTACCCAGTAATCCCAACACTCGGGAGGCTGAGGCAGGAAAATCACCATGAGTTTGAGGCCAGCCTGGGCTACACAATTAATTCAGGGCCAGTCTGAACTATATACATAGTGAGACTGTCTCAAAAACCAAATAGAATAAATGTATAAAATAAAGACTTGTTTAAAAAATACTAATTTAGTTATATGCACTTAGGAATATAAACATATTATTATTATTTTTTTTTTTTTTGGCAGAACCAGGGATTGAACTCAGACCTTTGCGCTTTTCAGGGAAGCGCTTATTCCACTGAGCCATCTCCCCGGCCCCGAAAAACATATTCTTGTAAAAAATTTATAGTACTTAAAGTGAAAGTTTCTCCTTTCCCAAACTCCGTACTTTCCATTATTTATTTAATAGCTAGTGCAAAGTTTACTTCAAAGACAGTATTAAGTGGTAAGTGATACTATAGCTGAAATTTAAGTGTGATAAGTATTTTCATAACTTTAGTTTTCTCAGTCTTCCAGAAGTAATGCTAGCATAGAGGCCAGTGTTTGCAAATTAGGTGACCCTAGAATGACTTTTCTTCCCCTTACAGAATTAACATTTTAAAAGGGCTTTTGTAGCAAGGTGTACTGGTTTGAACCTACTGCTATGCATGGAGGCTGTAACACATGATGTGCAGGACAGAGGCCAGCAGAGACCACCAGGCTGTGGAAAGGAATTCATTGTACCTGCACAAGGGCAGACAGACAGTGATAAGGCCATCTGTAGAGAATAAAGAGAAGTGGGTCCCTTTTATAGGGATGGAAAGAAAACAGGGGTGAGGAAGATTTTAATAAACATCTGTGGCCAAAATTCTCTGGCAATCTTGCACCCCAGTGGGCAAAGTCCTTGAAACATCCGGTGTAAATTTTTGGGTGTCTCCAGATGTCTGGAGAAGATTCTGTCCTATCTTATCTCCTTTATGACACCCTGTGCTTCCCAGTGACAGCTGTGGTGCTGAGCTGAGTTTCCTGCAGAGTGGTGCCTTTGCTGATAAGCAGGTTGAGGGAAGGAAAGTCAGGTCAGATTGGAGCCTTGCAGGGGTGGGAAGCACACAGAAACCTACGGCTGTTGCCTGCCCTTGTGATGTAGCCATCTTAAAATTATTTTCACAACCAATTGAAGTAAGGCAAGTAATTCAAGAAAAAGAGATTATTGACTGCAGATTAAATATTCTAAGGAAAATCTTTACCTAGGAGTAATTCATTTAATATATAAACACGTGAGTGAAATTCTATTAAATAAGATGCCCTGTGCATTTTAAACATTTCCTTGAAAAATAAAATCAGGTATTGGAAGTAACTGCTAGAGTTTGTTTTTCTCCTAGGGTAATATACTAGTTTCTTTCAATCAGACTTTATTACAGTGCAGTGGTACCTTGGTTCATGAACTTAATTTGTTCTATGATTTTGGAAAAGGTAGCCATGTTCATGTTTATGTGGAAAGGTGAATGAGCAGAAGTTGTGTTGGTCACCTGGTATTGGGTTTGCAAATGAACAAAATTTTGTCAAACGCTTTTGTTTGTGAACTAACTTATTTGCAAACAAAAGTGTTCATGATTGGCGGTATAATTTAAAGTGGAGGTGGGATCCTGAATAGACCCAGAGCACAGGCCCGGTGAGTGAGTGAGACGACCTGGGCCCGGTGGGATCCTAAAGTGGAATGCTTAGGCAGACTCAGGGACCGGGGTTCGAACCCTGGTGTACTGTGTTGGCCCCGCCTCTGGGGCATACTGAGACGGGACAGAGACTGGGAGTGATGGTGCGTGCCTGTAATCCCAGCACTTGGGAGGCTGAAAACAGGATGATCATGAGTCTGGTCTGTGTAGTGAGACCCTGTAGACCCTGTACATTAAAAAAAAAAAAAAAGTGGAGTCAGTTCCTCTCACTGATGGCGTAATTGTGAAGATTAAATTGAAGATGTATAAAATCAGTTTTTAAATATTTAAAATTTCAGTGTGACTGTTACAGGTGAGCAATCCCCTTTTCTTTTTTCTTCTTTTTTTTTTTTTTTGGCGGAACCGGGGATTGAACTCAGGCCCTTGCGCTTGCCAGGGAAGTGCTTATTCCACTGAGCCATCTCCCCGGCCCCCTAGCAGTCCCCTTTTAAAGTGTATAATATTTATCTCTGATTATCAAGTCAAAATAACTTTTTTATTTTAATATTTACTGGGGATTGAAGCCAGGGCCTCCAGCGTGCTCAGCAAGTACTCCACTATTCAGCTTCATTCCTAGCCACAAAAGAAGTTTTAAAATTAGACTCCATTGCTATTTCTAAGATATGATTTCTCTGGGAATGGGCTCTTTGGTGAATAATGTTTTATTTTTATTTTTATTTTTTTTTTAAATTTTATTTATTTATTTATGTGTGTGGCCAGCTCAGCCCACCAGGGGGCGGGGCTGGCTGGCATGTGGTGCTGGGGGAATTGAACCACAGTCCATGTGCTTTGCTAAGCTTGTTCTAAGTAGGCGCTTTAGACCACTGAGCCATCTCACCAGCCCCTGGTGAATAATGTTTTAAAGTACATAAAATGAAATAATTGGATTATGGAAAAATGGTTCATGTTGAAATATGCCCATTTTTATTTCTGTTTTTTAAAACAACACATTACATAGATATAGCAGTGAGACTTCTTGCCATGATTCCAGAGGAGTGACAGCTGTGGGAGGTGGAATCTCAAGTTTTCTGTAACCACCATGGTGCATGTGAGAACACCTGAGGTGTCTGCTTGTGACAGAATCAACGGGGATGACGCTAATGGCAGGATTTATTGTATGTACTCACTATAGAAGGAGTTAAATTTCAGGTGGACATTGGTGAAAATAAAGACATATGTTTTCCCCACCCATTTCATTCCACTGGATTCTGCCTGGGAACTCCTCAGATTAGGAACTTCACTTAAAAGTTATTTCAGAGATGATGATGATGATGATGATGATGATGATGATGATGATGATGATTATATTGTTGTTATCATGTGACTTATAAAAACAATCCAGGAAATTGTGAGACAAGAGCAGGCCATTTCAGTCCATTTTTGTTGGCGTGGTGAAATGAAATGACATTTCTCTCGGTTTCAGATTGCATTCACAGGAACTACTTTTATTGGTTACGTGGGATTGTGGACTGGTCAAAGCCCACACAAGTTCACAGTGTCTGGTGATGAGCGAGGTAATGGAGAAAGTGCTCCTGAGCGCCGCATAACCCCAGCCCTGCTCATTTCTGTCCCTGTACCTCCTTCCCTTGCCTGACAAAAGGCATTGCCATAGGATGGGTTCTGTCCTGGTGAGAGAGGAGACAGGAGGCCTGCATGAGCGTGGTCTGCTGTGGTCATGTTCTGGCAAAGGCTGAGGGGGCATAGGGAGGGCTCAGGGATGCCTCCCCAGGGGTTACCTGTAGCAGCTCTGCAAAAGGTGGGTTGGCCATTCCCAGAGGATTCACACCACAGGCAGAAGTCCAAGGCTCAGTGAATTCCAGAAACAAAAGCAGGTACCTGTGATGACAGCTGGAAGCGAGGGCTAGGGACATTATAGGTGGAGGGGACACTGAGGCCATAGTATGGGGCATGATGAGAGGTGTGGTGTTTAAGCACAATGAAAGCTTCAATTTCCTGTTCAAGCTCTCTGAAAAACTGCTTCAAGGGTGAATTGAGTTAATATAGCTGGATACAGGGTGCATACCTGTAATCCTAGTGTTCTGGGAAACTGATGTAGGAGAATTGCAAATTTGAATACAGCCTGGACAACTTAATGACTTAGTGAGACTAGCTCTGAAAAATTGTTTACAAGGGCTGGGGGTGCAGTTCAGTGTGAAGGCCTTGAACTTAGTCCCCAGCACCATACATGGGCATGCACACATACATGCATGCGCACACACACCCCGACACATACACTCCTCCTAACTATATAAAGTTAGTATATTTGAAGTACTGAAGGCAGTTCCTGGAACAGATTAAGAAAGGATGGAAGCCTCTGTTCCTGTCACATCTCCAGGGGGACCTTATCAGAGCCTCAGTCTATGGTTCCTGCTTACCTCTCCTTGCCTCCCCTTTGCTGTCTGCCGGGCTCTTGCTGTCTTCATTTCCTCTGCTGCTGCCCCACTTTGCCTTTACCAAGGCCCATTCTCTTTATGCTGCAAGTCTCAGGAACACTGCCAACCGGTGTTTACTGAGTCATCTTTGACCCCTTAGCCCAGTGTAGTCAGCTGTGCCACCTGAGCCAGACTGTACCTGGCCATGTTTTCTACCTCCCCTGCCTGGCAGACTTCTGTTCCCCTGGCTCTGTCTCACCTTCTTCATTTCCTTCTCTACTTAGCAGCTGCAATGGCCATGTGGTCACCTTGTCTGAAACCCACTGGCACTCAGAGATAAGGAACACATGACTTCACTTATGTGTGGAATATAAAAATTTGAACTCATTGAAGAAAATAGAGCAGTGGTTAAAAGGGGTGGAATGGGTGCAGAAAAGAAATGTGCAGAAGATACAAGGTCTCAAATGGACAATAATAAGTTCTGGTGATCCCTAGTCACATCATGGTGACTGTAATCAAGTATATTTCAAACTTGTAAAAGGAGGGGATTTTATTTTATTTATTTTTTTGAGACAGAATCTCACTTTGTATCAGGTTGGCTATGTGGGATTGTGGAACTTACTTCATAGTGATTGAATTCACTATGTAGTCCAGGCTGGTCTTGAACTCTTGAACTCATGGTGTTCCTCATGCCTCAGCCTCCTGAGTGCTGAGATTACAGGTTATATCACCATGCTCTGCCTAAAGCTCTTTAAAAATTTTATTATTATTATTATTATTATTATTATTATTTATTATCTCACTATACAGCTTAGACTCATAGTGATCCTCCTATCCCAACCTCCCCAGCACTGAGATTATAGGTGTGCACCACCACCCCGTTTGGGGGCCAGCACAGCATGTGGTACCAAGGATTGAACTCAGGTTCTTGCACTTGCCAGATAGGCTTTCAGACTACTGTGCTATCGCCCCAGCCCTAAAGCTCATTTTAAATGGGTATAGTTTAGGGTATGTAAATGATAGATTAATTTTAAATTAATATAGTTATTACTGGAAATGTGAGCTTTACCATGCAGTATTTGTTTTGGAAATGATTTATTTCACTTAGCATACTGTTCTCAAGATTTAATGATGTATAATGTGTGTCAGAATTTCTTTTAAGTTGGAATTATGTACCACTATATGTATAAAGCACATTTGCTTTTCCATTTGATAGCTCTTTGGGTTGTTTCCATGTTTTAGCTATTGTGAATAATGCTGCTGTCAATGTGAGTGTACTGATGTCTATTCAAGACTCTGTCTTCTATACTTTGGTGAATATAATTGGAAGTGAAATTGCTAGATCACTTGATAATGCTATTTTTAATTTTTTGAGGAAGAACTATACTGTTCTCCATCGTGGCTATACCATTTTATATCCCCCCAATTGGTACAAGTGTTTTTACTTCCCCACATCTTCATCAACACATTTTTTAATCATAACGAGTGGATCTGAGGTGAGCCCTCAGTTGTATTTCTGTAATGGTCAGTGATATTGAAGGGCTGAGGATATAGCTCTGTGGCGTAAGGGCCTGCCTGGCAAGTTTAAGGTCCCAAGTTCGAACCCCAGTACCACAAAAACAAAACAAAACAAACAACTGATTTTGAGTATCTTTTCCTACAGACCTACAGATATTGACCACTTGTATATCCTCTTTGGAGAAATATTTGTTCAGATCCTTTCCACATTTTTGAATTTTGTTTTTGTTTAATTTTAGGAGTTTTTGTGCATTTTAGATACTATTTTTTAAATCATGTACATTTGCAAACATTTTCTCGCATTCTATGGGTTGCTATTTTATTCTTTAGATAATATTTTTACTGCAAAGAATCATTACATTTTTAATAGTCTGACTTGTCTATTTTTTCCTTTTGTTGCCACTGCTTATTTCCCATATGGAGATCCTCCACAGAAACTTTTAAAAGAAAAATTATTTGAGGAATGACTGAAAATTTGTAGTTAAAAAAAAAAATATATATATATATATATATATCCAAAGAAAATTAAAAAAAAAAACCACCAATAACCAAGAATGTGAGCACAAATCAAAATTAAACCTCTTAAAGGTACAAATTATAAAGATATAATTCTTTATATTCTTCCTAATATTTATTGAACTATTTCTCTTGGAAGATATATGATTTAATTTTGAATAGAATGATTTTAGTATGATAATCATTGCATCAGAGTACCAAAGATTTTTGAAAATTTCACCAAGTATATTATTTTGCTTGCTAGAACATCTGTATTTATTGTATGTATGTATATGTACTCACACCTGAGCACATGTGTGATGTATCTTTAAATAATTTTTATTCATTTTAATAAAAAAGATAAAATAGCAATGAAAAAGTTTCAAAACAGGTTAGTAGGACAGTTACAATAATTAATACATTGCATATGTTATGTTTCTTTGGTTGCCATAAAATTCAGCCTTATCCTTTGAGAAGTGAATACTAGTAAAATCACTCTACATCAACCAACCTTTCTCCCCCATCAGCCCATTGTATGGGAAAGAAACAAAGTTTAAGAAAAAAAAAAAAAAGCTTAGGCCTGCTTGGACAACAAGCTTACTGTTCCTTCCTCAATTTGGCAGATAAAGGCTGGTGGTGGGAGAATGCGATTGCCGCCCTCTTCCAGGGCCACTCTCCTGTCAGTTGGCTCATCCGCACTGTGAGTATTCTCTCCATAACTTTGTCTTCCATGCAACGCGGAGATTTCCCTAGTGCTGTTTAAAAGCAGTCCCCACCCCAGGCCCATTCTGCCCCACCTACTTTCTGTCCCAGATACCTGCTCTTTGATGTCATCTATTGCTACAGACAAGATTTGCCTGTTCTTGAATTCATAGGAATGAAATCATAGAGTGTGAAATCATCTCTTCCTCTCGCCTGGCCTCATGTGTTTCAGGCCCCTAACATTGTTCATATCAGTTACTCATTTCTATTTCTGAGGAGCATTCACTCGGGATATTGCACAATTTATCATTTTCCCATTGATGAACATTAATTTTTTGTAGTTTGGAGCTGGAATTATAAGGTGAAAATTTTCATATAAGTCCTTTTGTGGCCATCTGGCCATTTCATTTCAGCTGGGTAAGTACCTTAGAATGGAAGTGTGAGCCATAAAGAGATACATATTTGAGGTATAATTCACATACCATATAACTCACCTACTGTTGTGATTTGAGGTTTTTGCAAGGTGAACAATATAGTATAGGACATGTTTTATAATATTTTATAATGAATCACCTAAGAATCACATACAACAAATGCAGGAAATCTATCCACACATTAAATACTAAAGAATCCAACTAAGGGCCTAGATTCTAATATCCTTCATGAGTCCAGCTAGAAACCTAGAGTTCATAACAATCCCTCAGGCTGGGGAGATGGCTCAGTAGAATAAGCACTTCCCTGGCAAGCCCAAGGGCCTGAGTTCAATCCCCGATTCTGCCAAAAAACAAAACATAACAATCTCTCCCGAAAGTCCAACTGGAGGCCTAAAGCCCACAACAAAGTCTCATACAGGCCCGCTTCAGGGATCTGTGCCAGAAAGGCCCAAAGATCGGTGGCCAAAGCTAGAAAGTCTGTGCCAGTGGGATGAAGGATGTGCTAACCAGCTGAGGGATCTGAACTGGAGCTAGGCAGAAACACTCAAGCACCAGAGCTCCCTCCAAAGTACCACAGCCATCCTCAGCAACAGTGAGGTCTCAGGCTCCTCCAGTGATGAGGAAAGCCGAGTTGCCATCAGGAAAGCCAATGCAACAAACTTCACGAGGATGAGCAGTGCACTATCTTCCCTTCTGGAGCCAGGAAGCAGTGCTCCAGATGAGGACCAAAGCTCCTCCAAAGTTCATCTGGAAAGACAAGGTCCTCCAGCAGAACATCCCAAGAGAACCAGCAGACCCCAACAGCTTCAACAGTGTCTACAAACAGCGTCCCTAACAGTGGTTTGGTTTTGTTTTGTTTTTAACAGCTTCTGCTTTTTATGACACTGGCAACACTCCTCAGGTGGGCCTCCCACACCCAGAATCATGCTAGTTTAATTCAACTGGGTGTAACAAGTTGACCACCAGTTAGAAATCTACTACACCTACTGAGTGTCTACAACTCACTGATTTTACAGTTCATAGAGTTAACAGGCTATACCACATCTTTAGAACATTTTTCAGTCCTCCGAAAAGAAACTCCTTGCTTGTTACACTCACTCCTCATTTCTTCCTTGTTTCCTCAGAAGTTTCAGGTATCTGCCTTCCCTGACTTTGGCTTTATGAAACTCAGTCTTTGATAGTAGTTGGGCAGCAATGAGGCAACATGATCAAACAAAAATCCCAGCACTCCTCTTACCTTCCTGTATCCTGCTAAGTTCAGAAGAAACCAACCCAAATCAAAACACCTCCCCCAACAGTACTGTGATCAAGGCAGAGAAATATTATTCAGCCCTGCCTGCCATGGGCTTATGGTTCTGACTGACGGAGCCCTTGCAGACCCTGATATTTAGATTTGTTCTTTTGTTTGAACCTGTCCCCTCTCCTGCTAGCACAGTGAGCTTTGGCAGTACTGCAAAAGAAATGTTCATCTCTCCAAGCATGGTGGGAGAGTGGCTATGAAGGTGAAGCTAGGAAGGGCTGATCCTCTTCAGCAGAGTGGCCTCGAGCAGATCAGCTCAAACATAGAGCGCACGGGAAGCTGAGGGATTTGAAAGTGATTGCCTAACTGTGCATGCTACCAGCCTTTAGCTGACTCTGATGAGCCTTGGGAGTGTGATAACACCTGGGAGGCTCTTCACAGCAGTGTCATATATGAGCTCTTGTCCCATATCTTTGCCACCTGAATCCATCAGGGCAGAACTCATTGCCACCTCCTCCACCCCCTTTCTCCTACATCTATTGTTGCCCAGTCTTACTTCAGTGTGTCTTTTTGGGCACAGTACTTATTACACTGGTGAGCATGGTCCCTGGCTGTCACTTCTTTTTCTGGTGCTAACACTTACACAGGATCACGATTGCTTGTTGGCTTTTCTGTCTTCTTTAGACGTATGGGGAGAAAAGGACTAGGTCAGTCATACTGCTCTCGCCCTGCTCTGTTGCTGACTGCCCACACAAGAGGAGTTTATGCAAGAATCTCTATTTCCCCTGGAAAGAACAAATGAGTGACAATACATGGGAGTCCTTTGTGTTGTGATTTCCTTGAAAGCTCTTGGCTGTCTAGGACTTCTTCTTGAGAAGGTACAGCTACCTTTGGCTCCCCACAGATGCTGAGGTTTCTTCTCTCTTGGGCTCCCCAGTGATAAAAGGATAAAGTCAAAACAGCTCTATGGCCATATCTTCAGATATCAGCAGAGAATGCTTTGGACCATGTGTCCATCAATTGATGTGGACCTTTCCCTCGGATCATGTTGCCAATGCTTGTCTCTCTGTTTAGACCCTGAGTGAGTCAGAAGACTTTGAAACATCCGTTTATAAATTGGCCAAGACTCCCCTTATTGCTGATGTTTATTATATTGTTGGTGGCACAGCCCCTCGGGAAGGAGTGGTCATCACTAGGAACAGAGGGGGCCCAGCAGACATTTGGCCTCTAGATCCTTTGAATGGAGCGTGAGTAGAACTGAAGACTGATCACTTTTTATAAAATCTGTTTTGTTAATTGGGTGAAACTAGAGTATATTTCTTCAGTAAATATGTCCTAAATGACCTTGGATAGGACAAGATGATATGCTTTGTTGCAGGTGGTTCCGAGTTGAAACGAATTATGACCACTGGAAGCCAGTGCCTAAGACAGATGACCGAAGGTAGACTTTTATATACTTCCTGGTTTGCAGGGTTTTCTTGTGGTCAGGGACTAGAGAGATCTCCAGGTGCTGTCCCCTTCCAGAAAAAGCCTCTGGCCCCTTGTCAAGGTCTGGACTATGGGGAGGGGAATGTACTGGGTGGAGGAGGACAGTGGGGAGGTTAGTGTGAGTTGGGAGGGTCAAGTTGGTGTTGAGTTTAGGGTAGGAACTCTGGGTCAAGTTGGTGCTGGGTTTAGGGCAGGAACCCTGGTCCCACCAACTTATTGTAACTTGCTGTGTGGTCCCTAGGGCCTCTGCTTACCCATTGCAGTGTGAAAGGAAAGGGCCAGAAGCAGAAGCTTCTATGTAAAACTTTTATGAAAGGGACATATTTCCCTTAAACAAACCAGTCCAGTACTTTCATTTTCCCTTCTAATTGTGAAAATTCTGTTAGCCAGTTTGTGTCCAAAGAAAGGTTGAGAATGTATCCCACTTGGCTTTTGGGAGTTTGGTGGCAATGATTCAGTTCTAAAGCAACTGTTCGCATCTTTGGGAACACATGGGGCCTCGCTCCCGCTGGGGTGGGCGTAGCCGAGACAGGACATGCTTGGGAGCCAGGAACTTGTAGGGGGAAGGGAAAATAATAAGAGGGGACCTTGCACTATACCTCCTACATGGCAGCTAAGGAGATTCAGAAATGCCTGGTGACCTTTGACTGTTGTCCCCACAGAACACCTGCTATCAGAGCTCTGAATGCCACAGGGCAGGCAAACCTCAGCCTGGAGGCACTGTTCCAGGTGAGTTGTGTTGTGAGGTTCACCTTTTCCAGGATACTTGTGTCTTCATTAATAGTCATGAAAAATGTTCTCTGAAGTCCAAAGAAGTGTGGTAGATGAAAATATTATAGTAAAAAGTTCTATGTAGTTCAAAATATTTTTTTTTTAAAGCCACAATGTTTTCTGAACTTGTTTCTGTATAGGAAAAACTATCCATCTTTACCTATTTCCACCTAAGTTTTTATTCATGTTAAAAAGAAATAGGGGAAAAAAAAGAAATAGGCATAGCTGAATATATGCTTATTGTTAACTTTAAAAAGAGCATCTAGGGGGCTGGTGAGATGGCTCAGTGGTCTAAAGCACCTACTTAGAACAAGCTAAGCTAAGCAAAGCACAGGGACCTCAATTCGATCCCCCAGCACCACATGCCAGCCAGCCCTGCCCCCAGGTGGGCTGAGCTGGCCACACACACACTAAATAAATAAAACAATAAAAAATAAAAGAGCAGCTAGGAGTTGAGATATATGTCTAAAATCCTAAGACTCAGAAAACTGGAGCAAGACAATTGAGTTCAAGGCTAGCTTGAGCTATATAGCAAGTTCAAGACCAGCCTGGACCAATCTTTCTCAAAATCCTAGTACTATGGGAGGCTGAGGCAGGATGATTGCAAGTTTGAGTTCAGCCTTAGCATTTAGTGAGACCTTATCTCAGAATTAAAAAAAGATATTTGGGATGTAACTCAGAACAAAGGCCCTGGGTTCTATCCCAAGTACTCTTCCCCCTCCCCCCCATGCCAAAGATTAAAAAGTCTACAATGATCACCCCAAGATACACTAAATGTTAAGTAGTTATGTTCATTCACCTTTTAATATTCTTGTAATATGATTTTTTCCTATGCAGGTTTTATCAGTGGTTCCAGTTTATAACAAGTAAGTCACATGGTAAGCACATCTGTTCAGTAGTCACCATTCTGTGGTGACCTCACTCACATACTCTTGGCTTATCCATTTATGAGGGCTGCTGTGACCAGGTGATGTAAGCCAAGCAATTGATGTTTCTGCTCTTCTGGGATGGACAGTCACATGTGGGTGGGGGTACAGAGGAGACAGACATATGAATCACGGGTCAGGTGAGAAGCTCAAGAAGGAGCTCAAAGGGACAAAGGGACGAAGGCTGAATGGACAGTGATCAGAAGGGGGAGGGTGGTGATGAGTTCCACAGTTTGGCAGACTGTGACAGCCTGCACTGGTGATGAGTCCCTTCATGGGTTCTGTCAGCGCTGTTCTTTTAATAGCTTTCTCTTTTAGCATTTCAAGGGCCCTGCCCCCCAATCCCATGCTGTTTACAGACAGACCACTGTTAATACACTTCCCTTGCAGTATTAAGGATCAAGCCCATGATCCTAACACAAAACTGTACCTCCATTACCTTCCTCCCCCACTGGGAGACTGACAAGTTTCTTGCTAAGTCACCCAGACTAGGCCCACACTTCTACCTCAGCCTCCAGAGGGCTGAGATGATAGGCATGCACCACCGTGCCCAGCAAATAAATGTGTTATAAAAAATTTTAAAGTACAGTCATCACATAATTACTTCAAAACTCTTAAGCAAACAAAGGTAGTTTTAGAAGTCTCATTTTAAAAATGAATATTCTAAGAACAAATAGGCTATTTAAATAATGTCATTACCAGTGTTCTATAATAAGTGAGGTCTTTGGGGAAGGAAGGAAAACTCCATGATATATATTTGTAGATGTCCATGCTATTGAGTATTCCATATCCAGCATGCTTGAGACTAGAAGTTTTTAAGATTCCAGAGTTTTTTGAGTTTTCGAATACCTGTATGGACTTTATCAGTTGAATGTATCCAATTCAAAAATCTAAAGAGGTCTAAAATCTAAAACATTTTGAGTGCCAACATTTTGGGTATTTGGATTAGGAATGTTCCACCCATACTCCCACTGTGGCTGAGTCCAAGCTTCCGAGTAGCTCACAGACTCCTCGTTGGCTGTTAGCAGCCAGAGTGCCAGCATGCAGCTGGCTCTGGTCTTCCACTGGGGCCCTATTTTGCCCTTATAATTATTTTACAAGTAGATGTTAAAACACTCTCTTTGGGTTCTGATAGTTTATAGTTACATGAATGACTATATAAATACTAGTTTTATAGTGAAATAATTATACTTGTTTTAAAAAGTCTGCTCTTCTATGTGACTAGCCCTCCTAATTTTTAAATGGCTCCATAATGAACATTAGATATATTTAAGTATTCCCCCGGTTAGCTTTTACTCCATTCATCTCTGCGGTAGAGGCTGGAGTTTCTATCACTCAGTGCTAATCTTGTCTACCGTATGTGCCTGAGGCCTTGACTTCAATCACAACACTGCAAAAACTAAACAAAAAGCCCAAAAAATGCATAAACAACATAACAAAAAACTAAACAAAAACCACAATCAAAAGAAAAGACTTCTCTGTAATAAACATATTTGTACAATATCACCCCCTGTTTAGGTTGGTTTGTTCATTTGCTGACTTCCCAGAGGTAGGATTACCAAGTGAAAGGCTAAAATATTTTAATAGCTTCTCCAATGGTTTGCAAAGTAAAATCTTTAGAAATTACCAGTTTACTTAGTAACATTTTTCTCTATGTATGACTAGAAACCCAAGAAGAATAGCATTTAAATGACAATGACCACAGAGCCAGGTGCCTACTCCCAGACCCTCCCTGGTGACGATGAACCCCCAGAAGGCAGAGGGTTGTGAGCTTATCTGAGTGGACTCTGTACCACACTGCCTCCTAGTTCTGGGTTTCAAACTCACATCCTCCCTCACAAGTACTCTATCCTTTGGTGTTCAGTAGAGGAAGTCTTAGAACAGAAAAGGACTGTGGGTAAAGGCCTGTAGTCCTAGCTAGGGCCTGTGAGGGACCCTCCATAAGTGTTGGATAAACTCCATGCTGTGCACAGTGCTGTTGCAGCTGGCTCTGCCTACTTAGCACCCCAGGTCCCAGTGCTGCAGCATGTCTTCCTCCATTCCCAACACAGGAAGGAGCAGGAATGCAGGCTAGCCTATGTGTGTGTGTGTGTGTGTGTGTGTGTGTGTGTGTGTGTGTGTGTGTGTGTATGTGTGTGTACACATATGCCCAGGTCACTTGGGTCTCTTGCTGTCAGACTGTAGAACAAGTGACATTGCACTTGTCCTCCTTGGACCTGGCCAGGGACATCTGAGCTTCCAGCCTTCTAGCCCTTCCCTTCTTGATAAGATGCATAGCCAGGCCCATGCAGAATGTGGACCAAGACCTAGGACCCTCTGCGTGAACAGTCTTCTCCCCTGCATGGTCTCCTGATGGTGGTGGCAGCCACAGTGGATGTGGGGGCTAAAGGATAAAGACCCCTTGAGGGGCAGGATGGAGCCAGGGTGAAAGCCTGGCTGGCTATCAGGGCTGCAGCATGGAGCTACGAGGAATGTAAGAATCTAAAATCACAAATTGGCTTCTAAGGTATTGTCAAAGTACACTTTGAATTCATGATTCACACACTGTAAACCTTTACATGGGTCTCTGTCTGTATCCTTGTCCTAGAACCCAAGTGTTCAGGATGGCCTTGACACTTCTGCCTTCTTTTGGAATATTAGGGGGAACTCTGTATATATATAAACTCCTCTTCTTGTTTTCAGCTTCACAGTTTATACCACAGTAATGAGTGCAGCCACCCCGGACAAGTACATGACTAGGATCAGAAACCTGAGCTGAAGTAAGTAAGCAGAGATTTGTCTGTGGTGTGAATAAGTGGCCAGAATTATTCAGACAGGGGTAGAGTAAGATGGGGTGTGCCAGTGTTTCTCACAGAAGATGATTGCCTCCTTAAAATTTATATTCAAGGGCCAGCCTAATAGCTCAGTGGATTAAAGCACCTGCTTAGTCAGATCGCAGTGGCCGGGGTTTGATCCCTGACATGCCATGCTGGCCCCGCCCCTGGGGTGCCCTGAGATGGCAATTGAGACTGGGCATGCTGGCGTGTGTCTGTAATCCCAGTTCTTGGGAGGCTGTAAACAGGCGGATCA